TTAAGCTAAATTGGCCCTTGAAAAGGAAATTAAAACAAACAATAGTGTAATGACTGAAACGAGAACAAGGAAAGAGGAAATGTGCTACCTCTCTGAGAATGGCATGGAGATCAAGGATAATCCGGATTAGGTCCAAAAGTGTGCGATTTTTTTTTTTCTCTCATCATTGGGCAATGATGATGTCAACTATGAGGACAGAGGTTAAGAAAAGTGAATATATGGAAAAGGAGCACTGTTCATAGCTCTCGTAGCTGTTCAATAGACTATTGTGCTCAGATTAAGATAATGGATGGTTTTCAACCCTAACTCTGAAAGAGCTAGTACCCGAAATTGCAGGAATGATAGTAACATTCTTTAATAAATCATATGAAGCTGTGTATGGTGTAATATGAGATGGAATTAACAGAGGCAGCATCTAAATTTAGAAGGGCAAAACTCATAATTCTGAAAATTGTAAACCAGTTAGTCTTTATTGTGAGGCATCAGAGTAAATTTGGAAGAAAAATGTTTTTAAAGCATGAATCCATCAACAGTGGATTGAAGTACAACTTTCACCCAAGTATGATCATGCAAGAATTCTTCCTTGGTATGATAACTGGTTATTTAGACAAGGAAACTTGTTAAATATAAGCTGACACATAAGCTTATATGTGGTGCCATATGGAAAATTATTAATTACAGTGGGGAATGTGCATATTGTTATTTTACAAGCAGGCACAAGCTTAATGTGGGAAAAGCTGCTTGCTGTTAGCTGGGTTCACCTACCATCTCTTGTTTGGAAGGATGGGCAAGTTGAGCTCATGTCTGTCTGCAAAATGTCATGTACCCATGAAGGAGATGAGGGATTAGTCAAAGGCAATAAAGAACTAGTTAGCAGGAAGGCAACAGCAAACAGCTTTGAAAGGAGAAACGTTAAGGTCCAAGTATTTCACTAGTGGAATTTCTCTCTGGTTTCTCACCACTTGGTGCTGAACCAGTTTTCTGTAATACTGTCATTGAGAACCTTTGGCATGAAGAGCAACAGCGTACCAACAAAATTGCTTGATGACACAGAGCTGGGAGATGTTATTAATACAAAGTGGAGATATTATTAATACAAAATCAGTTCAAGCTATCTTGCAGAAAGATTGGAATGGCCTCAAGTACTGGAAAAATAAAAGCAGTGGGGCAGAATTCAATGCTTATACCAAGTATAAGGTATCGTAATTTCAGGATTAATTAGAATTTCCACTGTTAGCTGGGTAATGCCAGTGAGCAGGAGAGCAGACAGATATCAGAAGGTGACTGTGAGCAAAAGGGATACAAGAATGTATTAGGTAAGATGTTTCCACTGGAGTTAGGATGTACTGCTAGCAGAGTACTGATGAGAGATGGGTTTGAATTGATCAGGAGAACGGAGAGCCTGCTTACTGGGAGGTAACAGAAAAGGTTGCTTGTTTAGCCCGTGTAAGGAAGGAAAAATATATGTTCTCTATAAATATATAAAGTTGGAAATATATATGCTCTCTACAAATGAATGAGAAAAAAAAAAAAAAAACAGCAAAAAGATAAAGCTGTGAAGCTTTATTACTCAAGTTCATTGAATGTTTTTTTCCTTCTGTTGGATGTTAAAGAGCATTTAGATTAGAATTGAGGATGTTCGTGTTTGCCCTAGAGGAATTAGGAAAAGATATAAACTAGTTTCACCGTTTCTTTTCCTTTGCTGAAGTCTTGCATTTTTCCAGGCTTTGCATTAAGAAAACACATAGTATTGTTACTTTAAATGTTTTGAAACAAAAGCAGCAGCAGCAGCAAAATTATCAGTAATGACATTTTCTTTAGTTAAGATATGGCTATTTTAAGTTTGATATGTAGCGATTAGCTTTTAGACTTAATTTGAAAACTTAAATTTTCAACAAGTTACTGTTTGCTAAAATGCAAAACCAGAGAAACAGGAATTTTGCGGGAAAGTGGGGTGGGGTACAGAGAAAGGGGAAGGATCTATCCCCATTAAACCAAATATGAAAGTGTAGAAACTTGTGGACAAAACGAAGTTGTGAGAAAGAGACCATATCCCAGTGATCAGAATTCCCTGTCAGGGTTAAACAGGAACTTCAGTGAAGGTGACTCCTATACCAAAGTGGTGACTGCACCTCTAGGTTAACCTTTTTCAGGAAAACCTCTGCCAGAGGAGCCCGAGTGTAGTTCTTTTTCTTCTTGTTGCTCCTTCTTTATCCTGCCTTCCAAAAAACTTTAATCTAAACTGATCCATTTCTGTGAAGAGTTCCGATTTCCACAGCTTGACATTTTCCAAAGGAATAATATTTTGTTAAAAAGTTCCCAAGCAGCTATTGTTATTACTAGAGGTGAGCTCATGTGGGATTTTTGCCATGTGCGCTATGGATGGATTTCAATACACATTATAGAAGTCCTCCAAATGTTTTATAGTAGTGCAGGCACTATTATTTTAGTTAGCAATTTAACTTTGTGATGGGCACTGCTTTGCTCTCGTTCTTCTAGTGAAGGAAGATATCTCTCGTTTGGAAGGATATTTGAGTCATTTATTTGTGTTTACCACTCCTCAGGACTGTGAATGATGGGTCATTTTGTCACATGGCTGCATGCTGTCCACAAAAACTCCTGTGCTTGAATTTTTGTTGGTCTCATGCAGCTCCCTAGTATCAACCCCACTACCAGCTACCAAGGAGGTTAGCAAACATCTACTTCTCTTCCCTTAGATTTTTGTAACTGTGTTTTTTTTAAATCCAAAGCACCTGATTTTGCTGTTATTTTTACCGGTTCAAACCCAGATGCAAACCCAGTCAAATCATTGCAGGTTCCTCTGCTGAAAAACTGGAAAAAATAAGAGTCTTCAGACTCTCGTGCCTTCTGACTTTTGTCCTGAAAAGCAAGTGGAACATAAGGTGTATTTTTTATGATAGTTCTCCAAAGAGACTAGCCGTTAATCTCTCCGTGAGTAGGTGTGTCAGCTGCAAACATTTCCTTCCAGTCTACCATTTCAATCACACTTCACAGTACACTGAAAATTGGCAAGGATGTTAATTATTGGCCTCTAGAACAAACCACCTACTTTGATTCAAGCGTGTTTTCCAATTTTTAAGAATGTTGTTTCACCTACAGAACAGTATAATTACAGCAAATAGCTTGGTTTGGCTAATATCCTTGTGTTCTGTGAGTTCTGCTTGCAAGGCAGCAAGCAGCACTGGGCAAGAGGCTCACCTGCAGAGGATTTTAACCGCTTGCTGACAGGAGTTAGGGCTTGCCAGCATCCAGTACATTGTTTTCAGTATCAGAAGCTCTAAACCACTGTCACTCAAAGGTTAAACATTAACGCTTTCTGCTTTTAAAGGTGAAGGAACTCTCCATAGAGTAAGAGACTATGTTTTTATTCTCCAGGGAACTTCCTGTTAAAATTTTATGAATGTCTTTTACAGGAGCAATTACAGCAGTGGGTCCTGTACCCCAGCAATGCAAGCCCCTGGGTGCAGCCTGACACACTGAGCAGCACAGTGCAGAGACTGGTCGTGTAGCTGCCATTGTGCATTGCAGTGTTTAAGAAAATTTGCCAGGAGTCAGCCATGTATCCAGAACATGATTAATCAACCAGCAGAATAAATTGCCCATAGATGACTGGGAGTTGACAGTAAACAGTAAAACACCTGCCTTGAAGACTTACAGTTTTAACAGACAAACAGGAAACAGAAGCAAGTGGGAGCCCTGTTTTAGGAGAGAGATTTTGAGGCATACAGACGGAGTTGTTCATGATTACACAGCGAGTCTGGCAGAGCTAGAGGCTGAACTCTCTGCATTTCCTTTCATGTGTTCATAGCTCATGTAACAGGTCTTTAATTTACCAAGAAACTTTTCCACAACGCTGTCCTGAAGAGTTGGCAGAATCCACAGTCAGCATTTCGCACACATGTGCCTCTTCGTTTGGAGCCCTACAATTTGTACAATTAATAACTTACACCATGAATTAAAAACATTGGAAAGCAGCCCAATGCTCAGGCTCATGTGTCAAAGAATTGCTGTGCAAGCCCGGTCTTATTTGTTGTTACAATAATTAATCATCCACTGATTTTAAGAAAATTTATATGTTACCTGGGCCCTCGAGGGAGCCTTGCAGTACTATTGAAACTGGACATTTTAAAATTAATGGTGATTAAGCTATAGAGCCATACTAAACATACATGAGTACTTATTTCTCCTGCCTCCTCTTTAACTGTAAGGCTGTGTGGGGCTGGCTACCTTCCTGACCTTACCAGCCACATGCTGCAATTTCCATAATGGCCGTGAGTCACAAGCCCTTCGCAGGGCGGTGTGAGCAAACAGTAGGAGGGGGAACATCCGGGAGGCTTCACGCGTGGGAGATGACAGCGGTTTCTCAGGGATTCCCTCGCTCCACTGCAAACCAGATCCTGGGTGAGAGTGCAGCCAGATCCCAGATGAAGGCAGTGGTGCCAGTCTCAGCAGCCTCACCGCCTGCCGCCACTCAGGGTGCGGGTTATCCGGCAGCTCTCCTGACGGGAACATCAGCACAGGAGCTGAGCTTCATGGCAGGAGAGCCATGTGCAGACCAAGAGTTGCATATCCAGTTTGTGGCTGAGCGCCTCGCTTCACTCCCTTATGTGTTGGTCAACAGTTTTGCACTGTAGGAATATGATATCAACGTGAAATACCTCTGCTGAGAAACACTTGGCTCAACTGAAGAGGTATAACCTTAGCCATTCAAAAAGTTTGTATACACAAAAGAAACCATTCAAAAAATCATCCTGCTGCGGAAAAAAAAAAAAAAAACAACAAACCACCTTGAAAAAATTGCAATGCTAGAACAAAATGTTTTCATAAGAGTTAAGTAAGCGCTACTACAAAACAGTATAACTTTATACACACAATTATAATAAAGCGTGACTGAAATGAATGCACAAAAGATTGTTATGTTTTCAGAGCAATATAAATATTTTGAATAAATCGTTTATCATCTGTTTGTTGTTTTGCAGGCAGAATTAATAGCCTTGCAACAAGAAAAAGAAGCTGCTCTTCAACAGTGCAAAAAATTAGAAGAAGAAATCCAGACATTGCGTGTTTATTACAGGTAAAATAATTAATACTAGTATAAATCAGTGACTCATAAGGGAAATTTTCTGTACTGTGTCTGACTGTGAGTAAGGAAATGGCCTTATCAAATAGGTATTTGTTGGAAATGTGAATACATCAATGAATCAAGGCCTGCATTTCTGCTTTACTGCTCACCAACCCGCTCTTTGAAATAGAAGTCCTTTTCTTGTAGCCTAAATTTTCTATTAGTTTCTTCTAAGGGAAGGGGAAGGTTGCTGGCAGTTAATTCTCATATAAATGAAAAAGCTGTGTTCTAGCGATGCATTCACTTTAAAACATGAGGACAAAAGAAACAGTTGACATAAGTGCTTGTTTCTTCCCGGTTGTTTGCACATGCCTAACTTAATCAACGTAGATTTTAAAATAATAAAATCTGTAGTTCTAAAAGACTGTTTTCTTTTCAACCACAAATTAATATGTATGTTTTAATTCCTTACGTTCTGTAGCAGTATATAGAATGAGAGAAATATCCATTCTCTCATTAATTTAGGTGGGTTGAACATTTGCATGGATCGGTGGGTTTTAGTCTCTAAGGAAAAGCTCTGTGTGGTCCAGTGAAGGAGTTAGGTTGTTTTATGGAGTGATGTTGGGTTACAGCTCTCATTTCATCCTGACCTCCTGTGTGAGAGGGGATAGAGAGCTGCCAGCAGGTTAAAGGCAGGAGAAATGGCATCAACACAGCAGAAAATTGTGAACCTGAAAGCTGAATGTCTGTGATGAGGGATGTGGGCTGCAGAGGTAAATAATAAATGTAGTGTGAATATTATGTGCATTGGAAATAAAGAGGACTAGTTAGTTATGACTAAAAAGCATTTGCAGCAGCAGAACTGTGTATGTTTTCAGTGTTTCAGCATTTACAAGTGAAAAATATTCGGGTTTCTAGAGGTTTTTAGAGTTTCCCCTTCTCATTAAGTTTATTAAAACCTTGGAGGGAAGTTTCAAAAACAACTTTTGTTCTTAAATCTCATAGGCATTTATTTAAAGCCTGTTAATAGTGAATAGAAACCCCAAGCAATTTGTGATTATTGCTTTTAATGAATTTGGTCAGCATTTAGTGTGTGCACAAATTATGGTATGATTTACCAAGCTAGAAAGAATTTATTATAGTGCCCTTATTACTCACTTAAATGGGATTTGTAGAATAATTTAAAAACAGAAATGGAGTTTTTGTATTGGTATTTCAGAAATTAAGAGTTTGCTTGTGTTGGACTCTGCACATTGTAGGAGATTTTTCAATGACCTGAGTTATGTTTTTGAGACAGTGTGTGAAGTTTGCATTAACTTATAGTATTTAACAAGTGTAGTAGACGGCAGCCTCAGTTTACTGATGTATATGCTTTAAATCTTAGAAATGTTAGCAAGAATGAATTGCAGAAATCACAACTAAAATGTACCTTGTTATTAACTTCTGGCCCTTAATTTGAACAGGCAGAATTTCATTGTAAGTTTCATGATGGTATTTTGCAAGATTTAGTCATAAGGAGTGGAAATACTCACCGGAATATCCCCTGGGGCAAGAACTATTGTATTGCTACTGAGTTATACAAGTTACATAGTAGCTCAGAACATCAAAAATGAAAGATTTTATCTCATACTTCTTTGTTCTTAGAGGATGGGTTTTTTTGTAATGCGTTCTGAAGTGGATGCAGAGAAGCACAGATTGACTGAGGTTGCCAGAGACTTAGGAAGTTTATCTCGTCCAACCCCTGTGCTCAAGCAGGGCCACCTAGAGCAGCTGCCCAGTACCACATCATGATGGATTTTGATTATCTCCCTGGATGGAGACTCCACAACCTTTCTTTATAGAGGCCCTGTCAAAGCATGCAGAGACGCAGCTAGGAAAGCCAAAGGCCACCTGGAATTGTTGACTTCACATCCCTCACCAGGTTCAAGAAGGGCTCCTATGAGTGCATAAGGAGCAGTGTTTGAGATCTCATGCCTATCTTTTGCCTCGGTAGAAATTAATTGCACCACTATAAGGATTCGTATGGATATCTTAACATTTCAATTACAGTTTCCCATATGCATCTGCAGCCTCTATCATGCAGTAGTGTGGCAGTACTTAAACACATGCCAAATGAGGTAGATGAAGAAAAGAATAAGTGGCATGTGTGCATAAAGCTTCGGGGACTGTGTCAGGCCAAGGGTGGGCTGGCCACAATAATCATGAATGACAAAGTAGAGAGTGCATTTTCCAGGCCATCCTGAATGAGTGAAAATTTACTCTCTCTTTTGTATGTGGAGACTAGTTAAGGAATGTTTGTGTAAGATGTCTACTGGATCTTTTTATTTCCTTTTACTGCTTGCCATGCTATGGCAATCTAGAGGAAGCACTGAGAGTGTTTTTCAGACAGCCTGTTTTGGAGGTGGAATTTTGGTGCTTGAGGTGGAATTTTGGTGCTTTGATGCAAGTGAGTGAGCTAGATGATTTGCTGTTCAAGACTACATTTCCCTGGAGTTATTTCTCTTTTGGACTTTGCTCCCCGATGAGCAAAATGTAGGCTTCTGCACATGCCCCACTCATTTGAAGTGTAGAGTTACAATGAGACACGCTATCATGAAGGGTGTGCATTTCCTTCACCTACTGTATTCTGATCTCTTTGCCAGCTTCTCCCACCTTCTGTCATCTCTGCAGTGCCAGTGTGACAGCACCATGAAAATTTTGGCTCCATGTGGTGCTTTCTCCTCCTTCTGCTCTTAGGTCTTCCTTGGCGTTAGAAAAAGCATTCTTTCATACTTTTCCTTGTTTTAACCGAGATTTCTACATCATCCTTTAACTTAGGAGAAGCAGCTTTAAGAAAAAAAACAAATACTAGAGGCTAACATTAAAGTGTACAAGGGATACTTAAAGCCACGCCGTAACACAATGACATTTTAGGGGTTTGGTTGTAAAAGTAATGACTGTGTGCATATATTAACAATTTGTGAATGCACACATGTGTAAGCAGTAACATTAAAATGTGCATTTTTATACTGACCTGTCTTTCACTCCACAGAAAGCCAAATATCAATCAGGGAAGAGATGTTTAGGTCCAGAATATCGGTATGTGTATCTATACACAGGCATGCTCAAAGGAGAGAAACAAGTGGAGACCTTCAGGAAAAAAAAAAACAATCCCCTTTTTTTTTCTCCAGGAGAAAGATTCCTGGTTCTAGAATACTGCATCCAGTTTTTGGTCCCAAGTAGAAGTAAGACACCTATAAAATGGAGCTAGTTTGACAGAGGACTGCCAGTATGTCAGGAAGCTGTAGCATTTCCACTCTTAAGAGAGACTGAGGGTATTGCTCTTCCTCAGTCTGCAAAAAAATATATTTCTTTCTTTGGTGGCTTCAGGGAGACCTAACAGCAGCCTGGCACTGTCTGTGAGCAGGTTATCAAGAAGGACAGGCTCTTTCCAGTGATGCATGACAAGAGGGTGAGAGACAACAAATTTGAACTGAAACAAGAGAGTTTCAGACCGGTTACAGGGGAAAACTTTTTCACCATGAGGGTGGTCCATCGTAGCAACAGGTCGCCCAGAGAGATTTTGCCATCTCCATCTTTGGAGATTTCCAATGCCTGATTTTATCAAGTCATGAGTAATGTGGTCTGATCTCATAGTTGATACCACTTTGAGAGGGAGGTTGGTTGGATTACAGACCTCCAGTGGTCACTTTCAACCTCAATTATTCTACAGTTCTGTGATCTGGTAGCTGCTGCTGTTGGAAGCCGTTTGATTTTTTCTCCAACAGTGAAAGAACTCTGTAAACCGCACTTCTTTGCAGAGGAAGTGGAAGGTGAATCCTAGCTGAAAATCACAGAATCACAGAATCTTAGTGGTTGGAAGGGACCTCTGAGATCATCGAGTCCAACCACAAAAAAAAAAAAAAA